ACTTTCGAAAGTGAATGGCTGGTGCTCCCATTGAAGTGGTCACCTTCAGAGAGCAGGAGTTTGCGTAAGAGTGTCCCTGCTGGAGGAACTTTCATCTGGGAAACATCTTCAGCGCTAACGAGTGGGCAATGACAAACAATTTGCTCTTGAGTTTGTGTAGCCTTGACATCTTTTGTAGGAAAAGATCTTGTTCAGCAGAATTGGCTCTTTGATCAATTAGAATGGATAAGAAGCAGACTGCTCACCGCATTGTGTGTGTGTGTGTGTGTGTGTGTGTGTTTGATTGAGGAACTTTTAATAAAAGGTCTATTGAGAAAAGGTGTGAAAAGGATCATGGGAAACCACCTAGGAGTTGGGGGAGCCCCTACTTTCCCTAAGTCTGACAGGGGTAACGGGAAGGAGCTGCTACAGGGATGCAGAGGTGGGGCTTTGAGGGGAGGAAGCAGCAGCCCACTCTCCTCTTTGTCCTTAAAGTTCTGATGGTGCTTCCATTCGTCCAAACTTGACAGGAAACCACCAAGCAGGGAAGCTGCTTCATCCAGCCCCGACAAGGCACAGAGCAGAGTGGAGAGCGATCTGGAGGGGCCGACATAGCCGTTCACGCCTCTCTTGTGTTTACGTAATCCCGGTCACTCCTTGAGGACTGCTAAGAGGATGGGGTGTTTGTAGCCACTGAAGGGAATTATAAGAGAAGGGCCCTATGTGTAAACTTAGAGTGTAAACTCCCTGGAATAAGAATTCATCATGGGGCTGCGTTGAGGCGTGGCGGGTAAAGTTGCTGCCTGCAATGCCAACAATCCACATGAGCACAGGTTCAAGTCCTGGCTGTTCCTCTTCCATTCCAGCTCCCTGTAATGCACTTGAGAAAGCAGTGGAAGGTGGCCCAAGTCCCTGGGCCCCTGCACCCGTGTGGCAGACCTGGAAGAAGCTCCTGGGTCCCGGCTTTGGCCTGGCCCAGCCCCAGCTGTTGAGGTCGTTTGGGGAGTGAAGCAGCAGGTGGATGAGCTTCCTCCTTGTCTCTCCCTCTTTCTCTGTAAGGTTTTCAAATGAATAATAAAACTAAAAAAAAAAGACTGCTTTTAAAAAAGGAAATAATTCAACATAAATTTATGGGCATCTTATCTTTTGACATGAATATGTATGAATGGTTTTTGATTCATATTGAACTAAGATATTTTTGTTATCTTGTAGGTGGAACAAATGTATTTTTTGTTGAGATTTGTAATAGAAAACAGACTAATACAAAATGTCAAAATAAAAAATGGATATGCATACACATATACACATATTTGAGGGTATTTAAACATTTCATGGAAGAGGGAATTAAAAGTATAAGTTTATGTTGGTGTACTTTTTTTCATAAGACACAAATTATGAAAAGACTGTACAGATTTCAAATTTTTTTAAAGATTTTATTTATTTGAAAGTCAGAGTTTCACAGAGAGAGAAGGAGAGGCAGAGAGAGAGAGAGAGAGAGAGAGAGAGTATTCCATCTGCTGGTTCACTCTCCAATTGGTCGTAACAGCCAGAGCTGCGCTAATCTGAAGGCAGGAGCTTCCTCCAGGTCTCCCAAGTGGGTGCAGGGGCCAAAGGACTTGGGCCATCTCCCACTGCTTTCCCAGCCCATAGCAGAGAGCTGGCTCGGAAATGGAGCAGCCAGTGTCGAACTGGCGCCCGTATGGGATGCCGGCACTGCAGGCGGCGGCTTTACTTGCCTACAACAAAGTGCCCGCCCCTCAAAATAAATTTCTCTTATAATTTCATTTATGCACAAAGTTTCTGAGGCTACATCAGTACACGAGTGAAAAAGAGTCTGGAAAATCTAATTTGGATTTGGGAATAGGGAGAAACCGAAAATTTTATGTATCTGTAATAATCCCAAATCTGCCTGATCTTGGTCATTTTTATTTCGTTGAACCAATTTCAATGCCTTGGCAGGTTCAAAGATGTTTTATTTTTGCTGGAAAATAGGAGGTTGGGCAGGAATCTTGAGTGCCAGAGACAGAAAAGACAGATTATACTGCGTGTGCTCTGGAAGGCATTCCAAGTGTGGCTCCTCCAGCCTTGCTTTGCTGGATTGGAGTTTGAATTACCTAACCAAGCTTCTATTTCTCTTTTACAGTCAGGTCATCTTTCATCAGAATAAGAAATTGAGCCTTTTTTTCTATGAACCTCATGCCGGGTTTGGGTCTTGGTATTTCACTGCTTATTGTTCATGGTCACTATCACTTGTCTGCTAGTAACAGTGGCTCAGAAGTTTTCCATGGGATAGCAGGAGGAAGTGTTTACTGCCTATTCTCTCAGGTGAATTAGGATACAATCAAGTGTGATATCGAAACTGGCTTTTGTACCAAGAAAACTCCAGGCCCAGATGTTTCAGTGGTGAAGTCTAGCAAATATTTAAGGAAGAAATGCCAATCTCACACAGACTCTTTCAAAGACAGAATAAGAAGAAACAATTCCCTACATGCCTTAGGAGGCCTCCACAGCTCTGATGCCAAAGCCTGTCAAAGACGTTATTGAAAAGAAAAAAACAAAAGGAAAAATCACAGGCCAGTATTCCCACGTGGATACCAAATCCTTGATAAAACAGCAGCAAATTAAATCCAACACTGTGTGTGTGTGGTTACATAATAACAAAATGGGAGTTATCCCAGAAATGTAAGATTGATTTGCATTTGAAAAGCAGTCAATGTAATCCTGTGGATTAACAAAATGAAAATGAAAAATAATCTATCTTCTCAAGGTGCAGGGTTGTTCTCTTTATGCTTTTTTTACAGGGATGTGAATGCAAGTTCCAGCATCACCCTTTAAAAACGTTCCATCTAACTCCCCGTTTATAGATCAAGGAGGAAGGAGAGCAGAAATAGACACGCTCTGTAGTGTTCTTGAGAACCCTGAAGATTCGTTGTCCATAAAGGTTAGACCTTAATTCCTTTAAAGCAGATGAAGTGAAGTTTGTGAAAATCTTACTCACAAGTGATGAATGAAATTGGACTTCGGTGGGGATCAGGAATGAACCCACGGGGTTCAAATCCCAAGGGGCTGGGATTTTGAGGGCCTTTAGATGTGGCAAGCTAAAAAGGGAGGGATGGCATCCAAATCAGAGGTGCAGTTCCAAGGAAAGCAACTTCCTCCAGCCAGCCAGCCGCCTGTCCGTCTCTCCATCCATCCGTGCATGAATGCAGTAACTGGTCCAGGATCTGTCCTGCGCAGGGCACAGGACAGACGGAGCTATTGCTCTCCCAGAATGTATATTCTTTTTTTAAAAAGATTTATTTATTTATTTATTTATTTGAAAGTCAGAGTTACACAGAGAGAAGAAGAAGCAGAGAGAGAGAGGTAGAGACAGAGAGAGAGATCTTCCACCCGCTGGTTCACTCCCCAGATGGCCGCAATGGCCAGAGCTGCGCCAATCCGAAGCCAGCAGCCAGGAGCTTCTTCTGGGTCTCCCACGTGGGTGCAGGGGCCCCAAGGTCTTGGGCATCTTTTACTGCTTTCCCAGGCCATAGCAGTGCCGGCTTGCAGAATGTACGTTCTAGTTGGGTTACTCACTGTAACAATAGCCTGTGTTTCTCTTACGTATCAGAAACCCAAGGAGTCCGTTTGGTGATGGTTCATGGTCTGCCCCAGTTTAGACGGCTGATCACAAAACAGCCTTCCTAGAACACTTGTTCCTCAATCACAAGGCAATTGATTCGTGATGGTAAAGCCTGATCATTTACATCTAGCGACATTTTTGCAAGTTTGATGGTTCTTTTTTTTTTTTTTTTTTTTTTGGTTCTGCAATGTCTTCCTAAAGTTTTGGGCAGAATTCCTGGGCTTGTTTTCCTTGGGATGTTATGTATTCAATAAACTCTTCAATTAATCTTTCTTACCTGATGTCATGAAAGTACATGGGGTTTCTTTATATTTTCTCTGTAAAGTTTCATTTTCAGACCTGCTGAGTTAGCATGTTAATATTTGTGTAAGAGGAATGACAGAAATCGAGATCTTCAGTCATTTCTCTAGGTGTGTCTTTCTTTTGGACTTTGGATGTTGTCATTGATATGTTTGATCTATGATGTGGTACAATACATGACATGACCAAATGTACCTTCCAGGTTAATAATACTGAAGATGTTGATGAAATATTTCTTCTAATATTAATGCCATTGCTCTCCTGTTCTCTTTTTGTTGTTAACTGTAGGATTGTTTTGTGATTTTTCTGAAGATTTTTAGATGAAAATTGCAAGTGCTGTTATTCTGCATATTTTAGGAGATTCAGCTGCATACTCATGATTTTTTTTAAAGATTTGTTTATTTATTTGAAGAGTAGCATTATAGACAGAAGGAGAGAGAGAGAGAAAGAGAGAGATATCTTCCATTACCTGGTTTACTTCCCAAATGGCCACAATGGCTAGGGCTAGACCAAGCTGAAGCCAGGAGCCAAGAGTTTCTTCCAGGTCTCCCATGTGGGTATAAGAGCCCAGGGACTTGGGCCATCCTCTACTGCTTTCCCAGGCACATTAGAAGGGATCCGGATAAGAACTGGAGCCACTTGGACTTGAACCAGCGCCCAAATGGGATGCCGGTGCTGCAGTCCGTGACGTAACCTGTGGAGTCACAGCGCCGGCCCCATGCTCATGGTTCTTGACTCCTCTTTATTCCTGTACACAGGTTCCTGAAGATTATTCGGCTTCATGTTTTTAAGGTTTTGTTTCCTAAATGGAAAATTGTAATTATGATATACAACCATACCAGCTGGTTAGTGGACTCTTCTCTCTCAGCTCTGCCTGCTGTGCTAAACATTGGAGTTACGTGAGTCACTCCCTCAGAGGTTTCGTCTGTGGCTCCTGACTCTTTTCTGCCTTCAGGAATTCTAATTAGACTCATAATGACAGGACTTTCTGTTGGGTGAGTTACTCTCCTAGACCAATCATGCAATCGAATCCTTTGTTTAATATATATATTATATATTATATATAAACATGTATATATATAAATATGTATATATCACACATATACATATATGTATATACTACATATATATGTTATAGATGAATACATATTACCAATAGATACAGATTTATTTGTTCATTTGAAAGGCACAGTTAAGAGAGGAAGAGGCAGAGGCACAGGCAGAGAGAGGGAGAGTCTTCCACCCACTAGTTTACTCCCCAAATGTCCGCAATGGCCGGATCAAGGCCAATTCAAAGCCAGGAGTCAGGAGCTTCTTTTGGGTCTCCCACGCAGATGCAGGGGCCCAAGCACTTGGGCCACCTTCTTTTGATTTCCCAGGCCATAGCAGAGAGATAGACTGGAAGTGGAGCAGCCGGGACTCGAACCGGCACCCATATGGGATGCCAGTACTGTAGGCGATGGCTTTTACCTACTATGCCACAGCTCCGGCCCCTGTATATTTTTCTAAAACATGAAAATTAACTGCCTTCTGAAAGCATTCAGTTTTTTTGGTCTAGAAGTAGTTAATGTAATGGTCCTTAAGGATTTTTCTGGAAGCTCCACTTTTCCCTTCTTGTTAAACATATGTGAAGCTGCAGATTGCCCAGCCTTTGAGAACAGGTGGTAAATCAGTGATGACCGAGGCAGTACACAATGCTTAACTGTGCAGAGTCAACCCCTCCATCATGTATTTGGGACTATTCATTAGATGGAAAATATGTTTTATTTATGGATGAACCCATTCAATGTAATTCAAGATTATTGATTGAAAGGTAGACAGGAGATCACTTGCTGAGAGAGTTTTGTATCATTTAATTGTCTAACAGTCCTTTCAGGGAACAGATTTTTTTCCTATAGCACAGATTCATAAAATGAAGATTACTTGCCAAAGATCAGGCATTTTGGTAGGAGCAAGAGCAAGACTATCATCCAGGCTTATGGGATGTGCCTCCCCCGGATTACTGTGCTGAAACCTCTAAGAGGAAGCCCTCAGGAGGTGAGTAGCTCCACGCGAGATCAGGAGGGTGGAACCCCATTGTCCTGTTAGCACAGAGAGAGCAGCAAGCTTCCCGGTGAGGACACATGTGAAGAAACAGCAAGAAGGCAGTCGCTGGCGAGAAAGCTCCCAGCAGGGCCAGAATCAGCTGACTCACTGGCCCTGAGCGTTCCAGCCCCTAGAACCAGGAGAGGCGCATTGCTAGGAGAGGCGCATTGCTTTTGTTTCACACGCTCAGGCTGTGGCCTTTTGTTACAGCAGCCCAAGTCGACAGAGACAGATGACTTGGTTAACAATCCTGGCTCTGCTTAGGGGATTTCTTTCTACTTTGAAGACGATCAAAAACAAGGAAAAACGGAAACTACTTGGTCATCATGATTTGGAAAAAAAAATGTTTATAGAGTTTATGAGTACTGGAAAAAATTATAATAAATGAATAATTTTGCTAGAAACGAAGAGCAAAGAACCAAAAGCTGCGTCCAAGGCCCCTTGCCTTACCTTTGGAAGAGGATTAAAGCTCGTATGTGGCATAGTGTGCCAAAAAGTCACAGAAGGAGAAACAGCTCAATTGTACAAATCATCTGTCTTTTTCTCTTGTCAGTGCAATTTCTCTAGCTCAAGGATAAAGGCTATTTACCCACATCACTTCTGATGGCACTTGTAGGAGCTAGCAGCATTCCCTTGTCTGAAAGGGTATTTCCTTGTCTGAAAACAAGCTACTTTTTCAGGCCAGATAGGTGGGCTCTCTGTCATTGAGCACCATTCTCAAAGCTGCTGAACCACTCCTCTCCCTCCGTCTCCTCTGTCTTGATAAAAGCCTCAAAACCAGAAAACTTCCTTTCAGCACCTGGGTCCTTCTCTTTCACTTTTTTTTAAGATTTATTTATTTATTTGAAAGTCAGAGTTACACAGAGAGAGGAGAGGCAGAGAGAGAAAGAGAGAGAGAGAGAGAGAGAGGTCTTCTATCCGATGGTTCACTCCCCAATTGGCCACAATGGCCAGAGCTGCGCCAATCCAAAGCCAGGAGCTTCTTCTGGGTCTCCCATGTGGGTGCAGGGGCCCAAGGCCTTGGGCCATCTTCTACTGCTTTCCCAGGCCGCAGCAGAGAGCTGGATTGGAAGTGGAGCAGTCGAGTCTTGAACCAGCGCCCATATGGGATGCCAGTGCTTCAGGCCAAGGAGTTAACCCGCTGAGCCACAGCGCCAGCCCCTGGGTGCTTCTCATTTGTTATCTTTTTTGAACATTGTAAACGTTTATCTTAAGTTCCTATCAGATAGATCCAGGCTATGGTTTAGCTGTCTTCTTCAAAAGTTTGGAACTTAACTTCCAAATTCATATGTTAATGGTTTTTTGGAGGTGGAGCCTTTGGGAGGTAATGAGGATGAGATGGGGGAGAGGTAGGTGCTATGGTGGCATCAGTGGCTTCCAAAGAGGAGGAGGAGGGCGCCATGCTTGTGTTCTTACTCTGATCATGTGATGTTCTCATCGTATTATGATACTGTGAGAAGCTTCTCATCAAATGTTGGCGCCATGCACTTGAACTTCCCAGCCTCCAGAATGTTGAGCAATTCTTTATGAATCCAGTTTAAATTGTTCAGTTAAACCTCTATTCTTTTTTTTTTTTATTTTGACAGGCAGAGTGGACAGTGAGAGAGAGAGAGACAGAGAGAAGGGTCTTCTTTTTCCGTTGGTTCACCCCCCACAATGGCCAATGCAGCTGGCGCACCGCGCTGATCTGAAGCCAGGAGCCAGGTGCTTCTCCTGGTCTCCCATGCGGGTGCAGAGCCCAAGGACTTGGGCCATCCTACACTGCCTTCCCAGGCCACAGCAGAGAGCTAGACTGGAAGAGGAGCAACCAGGACAGAATCTGGTGCCCTGTCTGGGACTAGAACCCGGTGTGCCGGCGCCACAGGTGGAGGATTAGCCTATTGAGCCGTGGTGCCAGCTAAACCTCTATTCTTGATAAATTACCCAGTGTCAGATACTTTGTTGTAACAACAGAAGGTGGGCTGAGACAACCCACTGTCCCTCACTCTAGAGGCGCCAGTTCTCCAATTGTGTGGTGATTTGTTTCCCACGGTTGGTTGCACTTGCTGCTAACTGCTTTGCAACAGGGGTGGCTCCAGGAGCTCTGGGAACCATGGGCCATGTGGATAGCCTGATTGTGTGGTTGGACTTGTTATTAGTTAGGACCCTACAGATTTCAGTGTTTCAGAACATTTTTTTAAAAGTTTTTTTTTTATTTGAAAGGCAAAGTTACAGAGAGAGAGAGAGAGAGAGAGAGAGAAGGAGAGAGAGACAGACATAGTGCTGCTTCACTCCCCAGATAGCCATAGTAGTGAAGTCTGGACCAGATCAAAGCCAGGAGCCAGGAGCTTCATTCAGGTCTCCTGTATGGGTGGCAGGGTGTCAAGGACTTGGGCCATCTTCCATTGCTTTCCCAGGTGCATCAGCAGGGAGCTGGATGGGAAGTGGAACAGTCGGGACTCCAACAGGTGCCCATGCGGGATAGCGGCATTGCAGAAGGTAGCTTACTGTGTGGCACTGCAGTGCTGGCTTCAGAACTTTTTTCATATTATTGTGTCTGGATTTCTGTGCCACTTGAGATGAGACCCCATACCTGAGGATGGGCTGGGGTGAAGGCTTTGATAACTTAACAGACTCTATCTTGGCATCCACTGCTTCAGGAAGTAGATAGGGTTCATCCAGCCAGCAGACAAAAATGTTCTATTCCCCATCTTGAAAATGGGGTGGCTCTTGATGGTCTTGGCTTTATTCAGAGAGCTCAGTTGAAGACCCTCGTTTTTCTTGACCCCAAGTTCTTATCGTTTGATTACAATGAGTGTTAGTGTGTTAGACCAGTCGTTAGACTCTTAGACTTGTATCTGAGACTGAACTCCATTAGTCATTTGATTTCAGGTCATCTCTCTCACTTTGAGTTCTAAGTTGATTTCTGGTTAGGTCAGTGCTGTGGCTTAGTAGGTTAAGACTCTGCCTGTGGCACTGGCATCCCACGTGGGTGCCCGTTTGTGTCCTCGCTGCTCCACTTCTGATCCAGCGCTCTGCTGTGGCCTGGGAAAGCAGTGGAAGACGGCCCAAGTGCTTAGGCCCCTGCAACCACGTGGGAGACCTGGAAAAACTCCTGGCTCCTGGCCAGCATTTCTCTGTGTTTTGTGTGTAATGGAGGTGTCCTGTCAACTTGATCTACCATAATTTTTTAAAGATTTATTTACTTGTAAGCTGTAGTTACAGAGGAGAAGGAGAGAGAGAGAGACAGAGAGCGAGCATGTACATGAAAGATCTTCCATCTACTGGTTCACTCCCCAAATGGTTGCAATGGTCAGAGCTTGGCCACGCTGAAGCCAGGAGCCAGGAGCTTCACGTGGGCCTCTTCATCTGGGTGCAGGAGCCCAAGCACTTGGGCCATCTTTGGCTGCTTTTCCCAGGCACATTAGCAGGGTGCTGAATTGCAAGTGAAGCATCCAGGACTTGAACCAGTGACCCTATGGGATGCCAACCTCGCAGGCAGTGGCTTTCCCTGCTATGCCACAGCGCAGGCTCCTGGCCTACCATATTGATTGGAAGTTTCCCATTACTGAATATGTAATGGATTTTATTCTCTTTTCAGTGTTCTAGTTACCTGTTGACTTTCTGGAACATTTTGTTATGCTAACCTCTCAGTTACATGTAGGAGATGACTCTATATACTGTGAGAGAAAGCTATGTGTATAATGGGCTGGCTCATTAAGAAATAACTTACTTAATCACTGTTGTGGTTAAATAGATATGAATTCAGAAACCACTATTGCCTAGAAAATGATGGGGACTCTATTTAAGCTCAGAATTTACAAGAGAGTTTCTGGAAAGGTTGAAAGTACAATTTGCAGAACCCCTAAGGGTTGCACATTACATAGACTCTTTTGAGCAATGAAACTTTGGCGAAGGTTATAGAAGGATATATTTTAATGAGCCCCAATTTTTTTTTACCCCTGAGAGAGAAGACTGGAGTTCTACTTGCTGTATATAAACCCCCTATAACCTCTTAACAGGTGTTCCAAGAATAAAGCAAACTACTGTTCTGCTCTCCTTTGAGGCGTCGCTCATGCCACACGGTTCAGATCCAGTTGCCGAGGGAGAGGACGGCATCACACAGTTCAATTGGTCGTTCTGCAACTTCAGAATCAGAAAACAAAGTAGAATCCCATTATGGATTTGGAAGCAGGTGGCTTTGAAAAGACTGTTTCCTTTTCTTTCTTTCTATCTTTTTTTAATATATTGTCTGTGTCCCTTTCTTTAACTCATGGGTCTCAGTAGGAAGATTTTAATGATTCATGCATGTGACTCTGGTCACCAATGTTCAATTAAATTGTATTTTTAAAGATTGATTGATTGATTTGAAAGGCATAGAGCTGGGGAGAGAGGGGGAATCCCTATCCCCTGGTTTGATCCCTAAAAGGCCACAATAGCCAGAGCTGGGCCAGGCTGAAGTCAATCTACAGGAATTTCATCTGTGTCTCCCATGTAGATGGCAGAAACCCAAATACATAAACCATCTTCTGCTGCTTCCCAAGCACATTAGCAGGGAGCTGGATAGGAAACAGAGGGAGGAAAACTGCAACTGGCCCTCTGAGAGGGGATGCAGGCATCGAAGCTTACCCTGCTGTGCCACATGCGTGCTCCTACATTTATTTTAAGGTTGTACCCAGTGAAAAGCTATCTTGGGTGTACTTTCTTGAAATGCAATGCTAGCAAATAAGGAGGACCAGAAAGCTACAATTCCTCGGGACAGACTATTTCAGAGCAGAACTGAAACCTTCTGCCTTATGCCAAGTATATTTGAAAAGTAACTTGCATGAAACTTTGACTCATCTTGGGTTAAATGTCATGGATGGGAAAAGGAAGGCTAAAATAACTGTCTCGACCAGATTAAGATTCTTGACCTGTGAAGAATTTCTCTTAAGATGCAGGACATTAGACTGTCATATTTTCAGAGGGGCCGGCACCAGGGGGAGGGGTAGGAGAGTGCAGGGCAAGCAAAATAAAGACAAGAGGAAAATGCACAGCCCTCTTCTGCCCTAACGCCTCATCAGAATAAAATCCCAAAAGCCAAGAGCTCTAAACAAAACCGAGTATGCTGAAAGATCCCAATGAAGATATGTAGTGCTTAATAAAAAAGCAAAGGGATCAGGGTGTCTGGAAAGCTGTGGGCCACCTGGCCAGGCAGAGCTGGAGTAGGAAGCAGTTGGTAGCATGCAGGGCCTGTTGGAATCACAAAGGGTGTCCCTAAACTTTGGGAAAGAGCCTGAAGGGCAGGGTGTCTAGATTCCACCCCATGGGCGAGGCAGCTTTGCCAGTTTGGGTTTCTGTGAGACTCCTCTGTGAGTCTGTTGCATGCTAAGACCTTATTTTCAAGCACGTCTGACATCCTTGCACAGGGAGACCAAGGCTCTGTTTATGCGATGGCTTTTATGGGCATTTTCCTTCTTATCCGCAGAGTGTTTCCTCCAAGCAGCTGGTTGCTTTCTAAGGAATCTAGTCAAGAGTCTCCATGAATTCACTGTAAGTAAAGATGATATTTGCTGGTTTTGGCCAGAATGATGACTGCAGTGGCAATGTGGACATGCATTTAGATGGAGCTCCTTCTAGGTCTTTCTAAAGGTCTGGATACAGACCACCTCAAGAAGAAGGCAGCAGAATTGGTCTCCTGCTGTCTCCCATTGGGAGGTTGTCCTCTTGAAAGGGGGAAATTTCGACACATGCCAACTCATGTGTCCAGCGGGAACCTTGGGTACATGAGCCTTTTCCTTCTACTTTGAAAATATAGTTGCTCTTTAAAGTCTCTCTTCCACATAACAAAAAAGCAAGACAGATAAAGGTTCATGGGGAAAACTGAATTCTGTCTGTTTCACATCTTCTGTCCAGAATCCCCTGGGAGAGGGTTTGAGATTCCCCTTGCTCTACCAGGGGGACACACTCCTGGCTGTGTGGTAGTGGGAGAAGAGGCACTTCCTCTGTACTGTGAGAGAGGACAGTACATGACTCCAGGGAGCGATTTTTGCTGTCTGGTCTGAACTAGCATGTAGTGCCTCCACAGAACCTAGGGAAGCGTGCACTTAGCCTCAGTATTTCTTATCTTCCCAGTCTTTTCTGTTGATTGGGTGACTTGGATTTTTTTTTTAAGATTTATTTATTCATTTGAAAGTCAGAGTTACAGAGGAGGAGGGAGAGACAGATCTTCCATTTGCTGGTTCACTCCCTGGATGGCCACAACGGCTAGGGTTGGGCCAGACCAAAGCCAGAAGCCAGAATCATCTTTTGGGCCTCCCACATGGGTGCAGGGGCCCACACACATGGGTCGTCTTCCACTGCTTTTCTCAGGCCATAGCATAGAGCAGGATCAGAAGTGGAGCAGCCGGGACATGAATGTGCGCCCATGTGGGATGCCAGCACTGCTACGCCATGACACCCATCCCTAAATTTTGTTGTTTTAATAGTTTTGTTTTGTTTTATTTATTGTGGTGGGGGGGAGAGATAGAGAGAATGAGAATGAATCATTTCCAGATACTGATTCATTCCCCCAAATATTTACAAATGCTGGAGTTGGGCCAGACTGAAGCCAGCAGCCAGGAGCCAGAAGCCCCATCTGTGTCTCCCATGTGGGTGGCAAGGATCCAAGCACTTGAGCCATCACCTGCTGTCCCCAAGGATGCACATTAGCAGAAAGCTGGAGTTGGAAGTGGAGCAGGGACTTGAATCCAGGAATTGTGATATGGAATGTGGGTGCACCAAGCTGCGTCCTGACCATCAGGTCAAATTCCTACCTCTGTGACTTAATTGTTAAAGCCCAGTGCATGCAGTGCTAGCATGGGAAGGGCCAATAGATATAAGCTAATGTAGCCTCCAGACTGAATAATAAGAAATTGAGGCTCAGAGAAATTGAGCCTAAAAGAACCAAGATGTCTCATGATTTCTTTTACAACGCGTCCTAGCTTCTGTGTTTGATTAGGGACTTTTGTGAATGCATCCCAAGGATGGCGGCTACTCTCAAGGCAGAAGGAAATGATGCATGACAATGATGCATGAGCGCTGTGCACCCTGGTGCTCTTCACTATCAAGAGCACCATCTCCACAGCTAATAACACACTGATTATCCACTGCACAACTTCGGAAAGAATTGCGCAAGTTGATTCTTCAGCAATTGCTTTCTAGACTTCAGTGAGCTTCACACAATGCCTTGTTGTAAGTCTTGCCCCATAGCTCTTGCTCCACACTTCAACCCTTGTTTGGGTTCCTTTGTTCATAGACATCTGATGAATCTTTTATACTGGGAATAGGACGGATGCCAGAATTATTGCCTTGACTTGGTAGCTGGACAGAAGAAGGCTTTCTCCGATGTGGCAAGTCTTCAGAATTTTGAATTTGCACAAAAGCAAAGGTTTTTATTTTTTTTTCAAAATGCCTTTAAAAAGAATTTCAAGAGATGATTTGTGAATTTATTTCTATATTTCAGCGATGCTCAACCAGGGGTAAATTTGCTTCCCAAATGGCACTTGGCAATGTCTAGGAGCATTTTGGTAGTCATGACTGCTGTGCCGGCGCCACAGCTCACTAGGCTAATCCTCCTCCTGTGGCACCCGCATCCTGGGTTCTAGTCCCGGTTGGGGTGCCAGATTCTGTCCCTGTTGCTCCTCTTCCAGTCCAGCTCTCTGCTGTGGCCCAGAAGGGCAGTGGAGGATGGCCCAAGTGCTTGGGCCCTGCACCCGCATGGGAGACCAGGAGAAGCACCTGGCTCCTGGCTTCGGATTGGCGCAGAAGTGCCAGCTGCAGCGACCATTTGGGGGGTGAACCAACAGAAAAGGAAGACCTTTCTCTCTGTCTCTCTCTCTCTCTCTCACTAACTCTGCTTGTCAAAAAAAAAAAAAAAAAAAAAAAAAAAAAGAATGAAACACAGAGTTGACTCAAGGAGGTTTTGTTGGGGAGCAAAGAGAATGGTCACAATCTGGGCTACACACGCACTGGCTGGAGTGGCCCCTGGAGTGTTCAGCGAAAAAAGCAAGGATGCAGCTTTCTTGAGGAAGGAGAAAACCTACACAAGCTGTTTTGAAAGGAAGCCCTTTGGCACTTGTCCTGTCCTTAGAGAGCTGCTGCAGTTACTGCCTAAAGTTGGCTTTGTTGTCACTGCAGGCGCGACAGCGCGTCCTGTCCCTGTGTTAGTAGCCAGCTGTCCTTTGTGCTGCTGGCTGCCCTTGGGTGGTTCAGGTACAACGCTGAGGTGTGGCAGACTTTCATGTGATAGCTCCTGTGATGAGAGACATCGTACGTGAGAGCTCTCCCTCCACCGCCTTCCCTGGGCTGCCTGGAGCCTAGACCTGGCAGCAGTGATTCCATTTTGAATCTGACAGTTTTCACTCCGGAGTAGTGGTGGTGGTGGTGGGGGGGCTGCTACTACCGCCCTCTGGTGGATGGAGGCCAGGGTGCCGCTAAACATCCCTCAGGACGCAGGCCGGGGCTTTTCTTAACAAAGAGTTATCTGGCTTCAGCATCATTGTTTCTGGGGTAGATAATTCTTTTATGATTCTTCTTAGAGTCTAGAGGTTTGTGTGATTTGTGTTGGCCTGGTGACCCTAAATTATACGCCACGATGTGGTTGAAAGCCAGCACATGCCAAGCCCATCTTCACAGTGGTGTTCAAACGACAGTGTCACAGGTCAGAGAGAGCTGGTGCTCCGCAAGCCCTCTGTCTCCTCCTGACTCTTCCCAACACCTGCCTTGAGATCAGAATTCTCACCTGCAGTTTATAAACACCAAAATTGCGCACACCATGCAACTGTGAAAAACAGGACCTAAGAAATAGTTACAAAGCAAAAGAAAATGGTTAAATCCTTAGCCCTTCGCTCATGCCCCATAAATACACCAGAGTCGGCCCATACTATCACTAGCCCTTTGGTCATTAAAGACAATTAAACAAGAACAAGAAGGAAACAGTCTCCATTGTCCTCCTTGTCTTGAGCCTATAAAACTATAGTGCATTTGGGACAAAGTATTTTGCATTTTACGACCACTTTAGACTACTACACAAGAGAAACATTGAACATCTTTATCTGATTTATTAACTTGTACGTTGTCCAGCTTTGGCTGATGATTGGAGCATGTTTGCCCTTTCCCACATATTAGAGCAGAAAGGGAACAGATGTATCTGCCTCCTTGGTGTGTTCTGAAATGCTCATTTACAGCTGTTAGGTCGGTGCCATCTTCCCAGATCTGCCCCGTTCCTGTTTCCATAGTGACGGGGCAGTCTGACAGCTTCCTTAAAAGGTGAGTCAGTAAGATAGAATTTCTTGCCCTTCTATCCTGCTTTATATTTTGGTCTCGGTGGCTGAGGATGAGAGCAAGCAGAGGGCTGAGAAGATGCCACACACATTGGAGGAAGTATGTGTTTAACCCAGAAGACGCGCACGTGGGTTCCCTTTTGTGTTCTATAGTTCGCCTCGAAGGTTATTTTCTCATCTGTGCTATAGCAGCCTGCATAGAACATCCAGACATTCAGCCCAATTCAGGGCAATCAACATTCTCCGTAAGAGTTCTGATATCTATCAAGTGCCAGCATGGAATGTTCTCTGGTATTATCTGATAAAAGAAAATCCTCAGAACTGAACACTCCCCCACCGTGGCAGATGTTCCGCTTTTAGTATCCCTGTTTTTTTGCAGATGAGGAAATAAGGCCCAGAAAAGCTGATAAACACACCCAGTGTCATCTGGGTACAGAGGACTGGTGGACCTGGAATCCAGTTCTGTCGGATGCCAGAACCCCACGCTGGTGTTCTGAAACCATGAAGCTCTCCTACCTCATTAAATACCGATTTCAGGCCAGACCAGGGGCCGGGCTGTAAAGCTGAATGGCACGGTGCCTTCCTTCGAGGAACTCACTGCTGAGTGAGGGAGATGGACACACAGTCAGATAAGTATTGTAGCCCGGATGTATTGCGTGGATGGCATCAGCGCACAGAGCATCTGTCCTGGACCCATGACTCCATTGCAGAACCTTCTCAGTGGCACCAAAGCCAGGAAAAGCATGCCCAACTTGGCCTCTGTGCTTCTTTACCGTGTTCCGAGGCCACAGAGAGGCAGAGACCAGGTAGCACGGTGGTCTGATGCCTCCTCAGGCGGAGAGAAAGACAGCAGATGCCAGCTTCGGGTGAGGTCACTGTTCTTAAGGAAGACTGATCCTTGAGGAAGCATGGATTTCATACAGCATATTCAAGTGAAGAATCATCTTTCCACGGAAACATCTGCTTTGGACCTTCCTGCAGCTGTGAACCCTGTCCTCTGGTTTCCCAGGTTCAAAACTGTCGCTCCCCCTCTTCATGGAGGAACGACACAGGACCCTGCGCTGTTCTTTTGTCTGCTCGGCCCTCCCCGGGTTTGCTGCTGGTTCTTCCCGGGTTGGCTGCTGGTCCTTCCACCTCCGTGGAAGGGCAGTTCCCCCTGCCACATTCCCCACTTCCACGGGGAAGCGGCACACCGCCGGCCGGCTCTCTTGGGGGCTGCACAGGTGTTCCCCTTAGATGTTCCCCTTAGATGTTCCTGGTGCATGCCGTCTCTCTCCTCCTTTATAGTCCTCTTCCACCAATCCCAACTCTGCTACCCACACGCCAAGTACGCTGCTCTCCTCCAATCAGGAGCAGGTCCCACAGTTTATTGGTTGAACTGGAGGCAGCTGTGTAGAAGCTGTTTCCCTTCTCAGCGCCATATTGTGGGAAAGCAGATGCATAGAATAAGTCTTAATTCCAGTAACTTAGTCTAGTCCGAGTTGCTCCCAGTTGCTCCCCACACAAAACCTCGCTGTCATTTCTGACTCTGCCTCATTGATTGTCCCTCACAACCCATAGTTGTCAGGTTACAGGGAGTCTAACTCTGCAAGGTTCTGTGGGTGGCATGCTCTCGTCTGTTCCCCCCACCGACCCCTGCCTCAATCATGGGGCCGCCTTCCAGTCTTCTCTTTGCCCCTCTGTCTCTTGCTTGTAATCTATTTTATGTGCTTCTATTGGCAACCCTTTCTCTGATCACATTCCGATCGTGTCCCCTACTTACTCAAACCCCAGCAGGCGATCTCGGTTACCCACCCTGGGTTACGAGCGCGTGCGTTTGGGCCCTTCCACTGACACTGAGCCAGCGAATTCCTCATTCCTCAAACACATCCTGCAGATTTTCACTGTCTTGCCTCACGCAGACCCCCAGACTCCCATCTCTGCCGTTGACATTCTCTCTGTTCCTCCAGCTGCACCTCCGAGAGAGCCTCACTCACAAAGCCCTTGTGTTCCCATCAGCACCATCCCCAGGCTCTACAGTTTTCTCACTATCCTTGTCCTGTCCTTCCCTGTGTTACTGGTGTGATCATGCCTACCTGATGGTCTTGTAACTTGTCAGTTCACTGTAGAGCCTTGTGACTGTGGATCTGCTACAAGCAGCCACCATGCCTTACTTCCCTCTGCCTGTTCTCCTCCCTAGCACCCAGGACTAGGCCTAGAGGACAGCAGGGACTCATGGCTATTTGCTGAGTCAGTCACAGCAATGCTGGTGGGTTACCGGGTCCAGAAGAGACAACAGATCTATGGAAAGGACAGTGTCTGTGTATCTGGTGCATCTTCCTTGTGTCACTAACCACGTAGCACCTATTTGATAAATCAACCTTTTGACATCATCATATTGGTCTCCTTTCTGCCTAGAGCAAGAAAAAAAATTCTCCAGGATTATCTTTTAAGTTTTTTTGAGCCTTCAGCTAATATAAAGCAGGTTGATTTGCTTGAGTGTCCTCTGGTGGGGCATTGAAATTTGATGCTCGTGAGAAGTATCAGGAAGGTAGAAACATAGTCCACTGTGGTGTTTAGATGCGAGGTCTTTGGGAGGAGGGTAGAATGATATCAGATCATCAGGGTGATTGAATACTGCTGGCTTTGTACAAAGAGCAAGGCCAAGGAATAGACAGACATGAACACGCACACTCCCCGTCTCTTCCACCTGGTGCCCTGACCATCCCAGGACCCTACTGGAAGGAAGCCATCACCATGTGCAGGCCCTCAACCTGGGAGCTGTGAGTCAAAACAAATCGCTCTATCCGTTACCCTGACTCAAATATTTCATCTTAGCAACTCATTCTGATTAGAAAGTCAACAACATGGAAGTCACTTAAGAGAGCAAAGTGAACATCTGGTGAGGTGATTACGATGCTGCTAAGGATGCCTGCACAGCTTCCTGCTACTGCACACCCTGGGAGGCAGCAGATAATGGCGCAAGTAGCTGAGTCCCTGCCCTGCACGTGGGAGACACAGATAGAATTTCCAGCTGCCGGCTTCAGCTCCTGGTCCAGTCCCAGTTGTTGTGGGCATTTGGGAAGTGAACCAGCGGACAGGAGCCCTCTGTCTATCTCTCTCTGTCTTTTAAATACATGCAATAAATAAGTCTCTAAAAATTACAAAGCAAATAAAGCAGTTAGAACTGGAAATCCTAGGTTGATGAGAGGGGCCTGTTAATGGGAATGATTGAATTGTGTACAAGCGTCTCCCAAATAGTGTCAATATGAAGCAAAACTTGACAAGTACTGCCCACTTGTTTCCTCTGAACCTCCCTAGCTTTCTGGCTCATTCCTTCCAGTCCCCTGACTCCAACAGCGCCCCTCCCCCCACCAGTACCAACCACCCAATGACACACATTGTTTTGTTAATTAAATTTTTTTTTATTGTGGAACGTACAAAAATGGAAACATTCTAACTATTTTAAAGTATATAATTCAGGCATTCAGTACATTTACAAGATTGTGCAACCATCCGCATTACATTGTCCTATGACCCACATTTTATTTACTTATTTTTTAAAGATTTGTTTATTTATTTGAAAGTCAGAGTTACACAAAGAGAAGGAGGGGCAGAGAGAGAGAGGTCTTCCATCCACTGGTTCACTCCCCAATTGCTCACAATGGCTGGAGCTGCGCCGATCCGAAGCCAGGAGCCAGGAGCTTCTTCTGGGTCTCCCACATTGTTGCAGGGGCCCAAGGACTTGGGTCATCTTCTACTGCTTTCCCAGGCCATAGCAGAGAGCTGGATTGGAAGTGGAGCAGCCAGGACTTGAACCGGCGCTCATATGGGATGCTGGCACTGCAGGTGGTGGCTTTACCCGCTATGCCACAGCGCCAGCCCCAGCCCTCATTTTCAATTATCCTTTTCCTGACCTTATAGCCTGACTTCCCTCCTATGGGTTGAATTGTACCTGCTTCTCCACTCTGATCCCTCCCCCCCCCCAGAGCTCCCTACTCACATCTTAGAGTCCCTACTCCATGTACCTTAGAAGGTGACTTTGTCTGAGGACAGAGTCTTTACAGAGGGGATCCAGTGAAGTCACTGGAGGGGGGAGGGCTAACCCAGTGTGACCGATGTCCACATAAGTGGGGGCAAATTGCAGACAGACACATGCATATGGGCAGAATGCCAGGTTGAAGGGAGACCTCAGCCATCTGCAAGTCAAGGAGCAAGGCCAGGGATGCTCCATTTCCTTGTGAGCCTCAGAAGAAACCAGTGCGGCCACCTTGGCTTTGGACTTCACGCCTGCAGAACCCGCTTTGTGGGTGCTGTTACAGCAGCCCCAGGAAACTAATGTACCCTCCCAGCAGCAGAGTCCCCATCATCTGGGGTCTCCATCACTGAGTCTCCATCATCTCCCTTCCTCCAGATCACCTTGGTCTTGCTGCCCGGCAGCCCCCTGCTCCCCACTCATCCTGGTCACGTCGAATGCTTTGCATACCTCGGGCTTGAGCCTATGCAGCAGGCGATCAGGGGAGCAAAGCACATCCATACTGCCTGGTTTTGCTTGTAAGTGAGGGCAGCTAACCTCAGGCAAGCTCTTGGTGGTGCCCACCTCCTATACTGCCTTCATCCTCTCACCATCACTTCTATTATTTTCTCTCAACCCCCCCCCCACCTCCTTCCCACCCACCTGCTCTGGGGATGGCTCGACTCCCTTTCTGCTGAGGAAATGGGAGCAAGGGGCAAAGAACTTCTGTGTGCTCCCCCTCCGTGTGTGCCCACCTCCCCGCGGCTCTGTCAGGCTTCTCTGCCTGCTCTCTCATTCTGCACGAACCATCACATCTTGTCTTCAGCCTGTTCTGTCCTTCCTGGGTCCCATCCCCTCCCTCCTTGCCTATTCAAGGGCTCTGTTTCAGCACCCGCATCCTGGGTTCTAGTCCTGGTTGGGGTGCCAGATTCTGTCCTGGTTGCTCCCCTTCCAGGCCAGCTCTCTGCTGTGGCCAGGGAGTGCAGTGGAGGATGGCCCAAGTGCTTGGGCCCTGCACCCCATGGGAGACCAGGAGAAGCACCTGGCTCTTGGCTTCGGATTGGCGCAGTGCGCCAGCCATAGCAACCATTTGGGGGGTGAACCAACGGAAGGAAGACCTTTCTCTCTGTCTCTCTCTCTCACTGTTTAACTCTGCCTGTCAAAAAAACAAAAACAAAAACAAAAAGGAAAGAAAGAACCCAACTACCTGAGCCATCAACCTTCTGCCTCCTAAAGTTCACATTAGCAGGAAGCTGGGGTCAGTAACTGAAGTCAGGACTCAAACCCAGGCCCCCTGATATGGGATACAGGTGACACAGTCAACATCTTAGCCATCAGGCCCAATGGCCACCTGTCCCATGAGTTTAAACACTACCCAGAAACTTAGCTCGTACTCCATTTTACATCAGTTCTGTATCCAATTGGCCTCTCAGTAGCTATACTTGGAAGTCTAATAGCCAATTTCTTTTTTTTTAAAGATTTATTTATTTATTTGGAAGTCAGATTTACAGATTGAAAGAGAGGTCTTCCATCTTCTGGTTCATTCCCCAATTGACCACAATGGTTGGAGGTGTGCCAATCCGAAGCCAGGAGCCAGGAGCTTCCTCCAGGTCTCCCACGTGGGTGCCATAGCCCAAGGACTTGGACCATCTTCTACTGCTTTCCCAGGCCATAGCAGAGAGCTGAATTGGAAGTGGAGCAGCCGGGACCCATATGGGATGCTGGCACTGCAGGTGGCGGCTTGCTTTACCTGCTCCCTCAGTGCTGGCCCCTCCAATTTCAACTTAATATATCACACACTGAATTCCTGATTTCCATCCTCCACCCACCTAAAACCACAAACCTTGCTCTTTTGTCATCTTTTCCATCTCAGAGGTGGCTCTTCCATCCTTCCAGCTACCCATGCAAAAGTCAAACAAAACCAAAAACCTGTGGGTGCTATTCTTGAATCCTTGAATGCTCCCATTGGGCCACGCTGCTTATCTAATCTATCAGCAAGCCCCATTGAGCTACCTTCTCAATAGACCCAGAATCGGGTCACTTCTCCCCACCCCCACCACTCCACTCTGGTCCAGTGCTCCAGTGACTCCCGGGGATTCTTGCTTGCAGTTGTCCCCTGCAGGGTTTTCCTGCTTCTGCGTTGCCTTGGCCCTTGCCCTCTCCTTTCATGTTAACCTCCATGTAGTGAGCAGAGGGCGTCTTACAAATGTGTCAGGCATGGAGCTGCCAGCCTTAGTAGCTCTGTGCGCCCAGAGCCAGACGAGTCCTGACTGTGGCCTTCTAGGTTCCGGAATCTGCTCGCCTCTCCTTGAATCCATTGCTCCTCGGATCCCATCCTTTGCTTCCTCCGCACCCACCCAGCTCCAGCAGTGCTGATGCCCCTGCCGCTTTTTGAAGATCCCAAGCACTCGCTCAGCTTGGGATCGTTCACACCTGTCAACAGCTCTGTCTGGTGTAGTCTCCCCATGAGAAAAGATGACACTTGTATTTGTTTCAGACCAAGTCCATTGCTAGTGCTCTGCAGGTGAGGACGCATGTCTTGTTCTGCCACCTGCCTCTTCTCCATGTCTCCCCTGCTGTTTCTCCCTCTAGGACGTGGCTGTCAGCAGTCATGAGCTGTATTCACTTCACTGTGTTCCTGCACTGGACTTATTCTCTACCTCACGAGGCCAGGTGCTTTCTTTGTTCCCTGCTTGTTGAATCATTGACTGACCAACCGATGGAATTTGATACTTGGTGCTGCCTGCACACCAATGTGAAATGTGTAACCTATGTAACCTTCTGCCTCTATTCTGTAGCCCTGGTGTTGTGTGTTCCAGGCAGGTGTTGGGGGAGCAGGTGAGGGATGCGAGGATGTTCCCCCAAACACTGGGCTCACTCTTTTCAAAGAACTTGCTAGATCTACAAGGTTATTCTAATTTGCACAGCACAGTAACGCTCTTTCCGTGTGGGGTTAGAGATAGTTTGTGGTGAGCTCATGGCGGCAGGCATAGCTTCCGCGAGGGAGACAGCTGTGCACCTGGCCTGGAGGAGTGGCCAGAATTTGGCAGAAGTACAAAGTGAGCAATGGTTCAGAGGCGAGGGGGAGGCCTAGGTTCTGAGCACGTATGTGTGTAAATGTGATTCCTCCCACCATATATACGTTTAGCCAATGTGTGGTGCTCCTACCACAAAGAGAGAATACAGCCACATATTTATATACATATATATAATATTTACAAAATAGAATATTATTTTATTCAATGTTCTGTAACTTTCTCAAGTTAGCAGTAGATAAATGGAATCTTTCTGTAGTAGCTACACATCTGATCTCCCTGAATTTGCTTCCTCGACAATAAAATGAGCAGAACCATACCTGTTTCTTCAGGTTAGTATGATCAG